GGGTGGGGGTCAGCACCCGGCCTCGGGGAGGGAGCAGGACCCCGGGGCCAAACTCACCCTTCACAATGAACAGGCGCTTGAGGGACTCGGGGTAATTCTCCTCGAACATGGACAGGAGCTGCGGGATGGGGAGAGCTTGAGGTCATCCTCCCATCCCACGTACCCACCAGGGCAGGGGGGGAGCACGGCGCTGGCCGGGACCCCCACCCCAAAATGCTGGGGGGGAAGGGGGGTGCGGGGCAGCAGCAGGGACCTGCTCTTGCATCATCCCTCGGGGCCGTGAGTCAGCCCGGATCCCTGCGTCACCGCGTCACCGCCACAGTCCGGCCACGGTCCCCGGCCGGGGAAGGGGGAGTCGTGCAGGGAGCCCCTCACCTCCCCGTACGTGTCCACGGCTGGCTTCCAGAGGTGCTTCAAGCCCAGGCCCTCGCAGTCATAGACCATCAGCACCATCTCAATCTTCTTGCCCAGCTGGGATGGATGGGAGAACAGGGGGGAGCTCAGGTGGTGCCCAGACCTGTGGGGACCCATGGGAGGGGGACTTCCAGCCAGACCCCAGGATGGGGGTGCTCCCCGCTGGGCTGGTCCCCCCCCCAGCTGGAGCCTTCTCCCAAGCGTTGGTGTGGGGAGAAGGGGCATCATGGGCTGGTGTGAGTGGACAAGGACACGGGTTGGGGACAGCAGGGATGTGGGCTGGGGGGACGGACTGGATGGGGACTTAACGGGGCTGGTGAGGACATTGGGTGGTGGGGATGGACAGGACATAGACTTATGGGGCTGGTAGGGACACGGGCTGGTGGGGACAGCAAGAACATGGGCTGGGGGTGATGGACAGGACATGGACTTATGGGGGTGGCAGGGACATGGTCTGTGGTGGGATGGATGGGATGTGGACTTGTGGGTCTGGCAGGGACACGGGCTGGTGGGGATGGAGTGGACATGGACCTACAGAGCTGGGTAGAACATTCGGTTGTGGAGATGGACCAGACATGGATTTATGGGGCTGGCAGGGACGTGGGCTGGTGGGGACAGCAAGGAGGCAGTCTTGTGGGGGTGGTGGGGACAGGGCAGGGGCAGGCAGGCGCCCACCTTCTGGCTCTGCTTCTCGCACTCGTGCCGCAGCACCTCGCAGTCGCGGAACTTGTTCTTGAGCAGGTCCTGCTTGGAGGCGGAGAAGAGCAGCCCCTTGGCGTCGAGCGGCCCGATGATCTCGTACCAGATGGGGCTGCCCTCCCGGTCATAGCCGCACATCCCCCCGGACATGTACTTCCTGATCACCTGTGGGAACACGGGGGGCTCAGGGGGGACCGCACACCTCACCCCGGGGAGGGGGGATGGGGACAGTCCCCTCCAGGGACACCGGCCCCGGGGCTGGGGACACCCACCTCGGGGGCTTCCCAGGCGATGATGTTGTCGGCATCCATGTGTTTGCGGACCTCGATGTGCTGCGTGGTGAGGGGCAGAGCAAGACGGGGTGAGGGGATTTGGGGACCCCCATCCCATGGGATGGGGTGCACCCCATGGGCAGGTCACCCTTGATGGGAGAGAAGGGCTGGTGGCCCATGGCACGCTGTCCCATCCCCAGGTGACAATTGGGAGCTCGGCAGCAGTATGGGGGAGGGGGGGAGGGTGTCGTCCCCCCAAAAAGCGGGGTGCCCTCTCACCTTGCGGAGCATCGCCTCTGATTTGGGCAG